CAACATTAACCGCCATTCATGCGTGACTAATCAAATCACAAGTATTACCGTATCACCCTCCTCTCGCCGTCCTCCGGACTGACCTACACTCGCCACTCAATCACGGGGCAGAGTATATTAGCTCTTATGACGCTTCATTTCCTATCCCAAACATCCGTCAATTTCTCTCCGCGGGTATACGGACGCGGAAGAGCTTCACATCTTCTCCAAACGAAAGCGGCAAAGCAATCTATCGAATAAAACCCCTTTCGATCGTTCTTGATTACGCGCACGACGGCGAAGCTTCAAAGACAAGCAGCCTGTAGCGATTCGCGCTCGGCACATTTGTTCGGTCGTCTCACCGAAATGCATTATTCCCCATCTAACTGCACCGGCTGGCAACGTGTCACTCTGCTTTTTACCAATAAACACACACACAAACACACACACGCACACACACACGCACGCGCACGCACACGCACACGCACACGTACACGCAGACACACACACACACGCACGCACACGCACACGCGCACACACTCTTCGAGTCACCTGTAATTCAGACTGGTTGGCAAAGCAAATCCCCTCCCCCCCCTTTTTTTTTTTTTTTTTCGTCTTGTATTTTGCAGACCGATTTGCCCAGCAGTGAGAGAAAATAAATATTAATAAAAACATATATAGCCTGTCGATCTGGGCCAAGGAACACTCGACTCTCGGTTGTGGCGACACTCTGCACGGGTTACGGCGACGCGGCGTCGGTTAAAACGTGTGCCAAGGTCCCAGACGCGATTCGATAGGATCGCTAGGTTTGCTGTCCCGTTCCGGCGACGCAGGCTCATTTGCGCTGCAGGGCTAATGGCGGTGCCGGCGTCATCAACGCCCCTACGCCGGAGCCGCTCCATTAGGACGGGAGTCTTGGACGACGGTATAGTGTCGGCTTACGAGTGTTTTTGCGGGCATGGCTGGTCCGGGTAGGAATTTCGTTTCGGGAACCCCTTTCTAATTATATCGAGTTTTAGCGTAGAATGTGTTTTATCAGCCGAATTCTACGAGAACACCGCCGTTTCGAATAGCCGCATCGATTAACCGTATCGTAGGGCCGTCATGAAAGCATCGTGCCACGTGACTTCATGCCGTCGCGTGATGATATGATATGCGACACAAAGCGACACCGTCACATAATGTGGCGTCACAGTTACGTGACCTCTTGACATCACCGGATGTCTCACACAAACAGACATAGCCCGAGCCCAGCTCATTCACAACGCGTGCGGTGGTCCCCGGTCTTTCTCAGCATGATTGAGCGAGCGTTTTCTTGTTTGCTATACGTCGTGAGCGGGCGGGAGATCGGTGACCGTGTGCGCTAACGCAGCGAAGCTCAGAGCACGTGGTACGCTCGAAAGCTTGCGCTGCAGATTCCAAGGAACACCCGGGTTCAGTTCCTCACGCCTGCCCGATCTGAATGAGCATCGTTTCCGCGTGCGCGCTCTTGCATCACTACTGCGTGGTGCACGTTAAAGACGCCTATGCTAGCGGTAGTACTGCTCTGAACACATTTCTATCTACACCAAAAACACCGGGTCGGAACGTGCACAGATCCCATTTACGTGACCTGCGACAGAGTCCATGCTGGGCCCTAAGCTCGTCAAGAAACGAAGTTGGGCCGAAGTTGACAGAGCGCGCCGATGGGCGTATCATGACGATGACTTCGCACTTTTTTAGGCAACGTCCAATCGGCGCCTTCCGCGAACTTTCGGCTCCAACTTTGTGTTCGACGAGTTTAGGACCCCAGGGTCGCTAAACTCGTCAAACACAAAGTTGGGGCCGAAGTTGACGGAGCGTACCGATTGGCCTATCGCGACGATGACTTCGCGTTTTTTTCGCCGACGTCCAATCGGCGCGCTCCGCGAACTTTTGGCTCCAACTTTGTGTTTCACGAGTTTAGGGCCCCTGGTCTGAAAAGGCGGGAGTCGCTCTTATTGGCGTGATAAGGTTAGGCTTTTTGTGCCAGATTTGGTTGCGTATAAATAAGTCACAAATTCACCGAGACTTAGAAGAAACGACAATAAAAGTGGTGCGTGCTTCTGTAGAAATATTTTGGGCTATATCCTCCTTTTCCATAGCAAGTTTTACGTGTCGAATAGGGGATGAAAGCTTTTAAGACGAGAACGTTAGGGTAAATGAAAATTACGACCAGACATTTAGCGCGACCACGTAAAACGATCTCGAAGCGACGAACATGTTCGCGTTTTCGTTGGCTGTCTTTATTCCCGCAACAGCCTCCCTCGTGGCTGAGGACCGTCGATACCGCCCAAAAGCAGCCCACGCAGTACCTCAAGTCGAGTGCCGTTACAACCAGTCAGCTAATTCGCTGCCTGCCTTTCCTATTACGAAAGGCGCCATCTCCAACATTTGTATAAGACGCGGAGCCACAAAAGCATCCTTTCAGTCCAGGAAAACAGTCCCGGATGCAAGCGCATCTCGCGCAACCAAAGCCGCCCTCTTGTACTTCCGTCACCCCCAACACTGCGTTCCGATCGAACAACAAAAGGATACCGGCGCACACTCCATAGGGCGGAACAACCGAACGAACAGAACGGCGCGGCCTGTTTCGTCGTGTTTCTAATATTTCTCGCTCCGACCTCCTGTCCGAAAATAGACAAAAAATTACGTCGTTTTATTCTTTTCGGGCGCGCCGAATCGGAAAGCAAACGCGGCATGCCGCCCTACCCGACCACGCGCCATTTCCTCACAACTCCGACACACACACACACACACACACACACACACACACACACACACACACACACACACGCACACGCACACGCACACACACACACACGCACACGCACACGCACAGACACACACACACACACAGACACAAAACAAAAACAACCTCGTGCAACATTTATGGCGCGTTCTAAAGCAATAGGGCAATGCCAGCCACAGCCTGACAGGTGCGGCCAGAACAAACGCGAGGGGAGGAGGGGGGGGGGGACAAGCAATCCATTTTGCGGTCAGGTACAAAATTTATGCGTAAGAAATGCGTGGTAGTTCGACGTTTGGGGACATGTCGGACGATAAATACACAAACCTAAAACGGGACTGCCAGCTGCAGGAACGAGAGCGTGTCGACGCCTAAATCAATTTCACGGCGTTTCGCGCACGCGGCGCGTGCTTTCCTTAACGGGGGAAAGCGACGACATTCCATTTGGATGGGCGAATCGTTCGCCGACTGTCTGATGTATCGGGCTCCCGCTCCTGTCGGCTGCTGCTAAAAACGGGGCTCTGATCGAAACATTTCTCCTCTTTATTTTTATCTTTTAATATTTTTGCTTGTACCGATAAATAGCGAAAGTATAAAGAGCACGTTAGAGGTGGGAGCTACCGATAGTCCCTTGAAACTCAAGAAGGTAGGGCGAGACAAAAGAAGGCCGGGGAGGAGAAAGCAGACGGAACGCTAAAGAGAGGAGGAGGTTTCGCCCTCTCTTCTCCAGCGTTCCGTCTGCTTCCTCCTTCTCCCCGGCCTTCTTTTCCCTCGCCCTACCTTCTTGAGTTGCTACGGACTATAGTGGGACAGTCCAGCATATGCTGGGGGGTCGGTATGCGTTCCAACTCCCTCTTTGTTTACCGGAGAGCGAATCCTCTTTAAATAACACTAATATTATTATTTATAATAATTATCGTTTATTGCAACTTTGAAGTTTGTACATTGAAGAAACGGGTCCGTCGAGAGGCTTGTGGGACTTGGCCCAACAACGTCTGACTCATCGATGCAAATGAGACTGTAATTGGAAAGACACAATACTTAAAAAACAAAATAATTATAATAATGATGATGATGATGACGATGATGATGATAAGAAGAAGAAGAAGAATTTTCTTGGACATGAACAACCTTGGAGAAGAATCTGACTAATGAATGACTAATGGCATGTTTTGACATAAAGGATCACATCTACTTGTGTTCTGTGAGCTGATGTTAAACAGGTAAAACAATGAAAAAAGCTACGAAGTTGAAAAGAGATCTGTCAGTTTCTGTTGCAGTTTTTGGTTCGATTTTACCCACGGTTTGGGTTGCACTATCACTAATTGCGCGTGTTGGTTGCGCACAAATGAGCTAGTGGCCGTTTCCTTGAATGTTGTCCATTCAAATAAATTATCATAATTCCAAAGTGACTCTTTTACAAGAGATTTTCTTCATGTTTCTAGTATTTATCGTTCCAAGCTCCCTAAAATTTATGAAAAATTACGCCGTTTTATTTTTTTCGGGCGCGCCGAATCGGAAAGCAAACGCGGCAGCGCGCCTTCCCGAACACGCGCAATTTCCTCACAGCTTTGACACTGAAGCAGGACAGAAATTACGCACCTTTAGTAAACAGAACTTCCCTTACAAGCTTCGTATTGGAGTACGAAACTGCGAGGACGATAAATAAAGAATAAAACATAAAAAAAACAAATAAAAGAACACCTTTGTTGTTATATTTATTAATGCGAAAACAGTAACTGTTTCATGGAGCGAAGCCGGCGTTATCTGGTGTCTGTAGCAACAAAAAACGGCACGTAAATTCCCATTGGCTGAGCGAAACGGCACACAAATTCCCATTGGCTGCAAGGCGAACGCGCCCCCCAAATAAAACATAAAGAAAAGCACAGCGACGGAGATGCCTCGTCGCGGAAGCCGGCGTGGCGCTCAAGGTCAAAACGGACGGTCTTCAGAGATAAAAGACAAAGAAAGGCACAGCAACGCACATGCTTCGTCACGGAAGTTGTCGTGAAGCCGGCGAGGTTCGCCGCACCTGCGCAATGAGGTAGCGTGATGTCACCGCCGGAGCGCCGTGTGAAGGAGGACGTGGAGCGCTGCTGGTACGAATCCTCTGCTGGTAGGAATGCGCTGTGTGTAGGAATGCTTTCGGGTTCACGCATGTACGCGAAATTTCAGTTGTTTAGTCAAGCGGGTAACATAACGGCGTTGCCGCTGAGTTTTTTTCCTGACCGTATTTCCTTTGTGTCTTCCACAGGACCACATACAGGAAGTTCTGAACAAATGGGACCAAATCGACGACGAGATCTGGGCCAAGATCATCTGTATGGAACGGAACCGGAGAGTTGCCAAAGCCTACGCCCGGGCCCCCGTCCTCACCATCAACGGCTCCAATGAGGGTTTCGACGGGTTCAGGTACGCAAAAACATCCGTTCCGTACTAACTTCCGAGGGAAAGGAGGGCTGGGGAGGAGGAAGCAAGCTGAATGTTGGAGAGGAGAGAAGGAAACCTCCTCGTTTCTGCAGCGTTCCGTCTACTTCTTCCTCCGCAGCCTTCCTTTATAGTAGCGCGATTCCACATCTCCGCGCTAATGTAGACGAAAGTTTGGATACATTTTGCGGGTCGGTTCGATAAATATCTCCGTGGTTCCAATAATCGCAACCCCTCTTTAGAGCACAGTGAAGGAGACACACCTACCAGAGACGGAGTGCAAGAGCATTTATGAAACACTTAGTCAACCCCCACTCCGCCGCGCCAGCGAGGCAAGGAAATGTTCTTACTTGCCAGATGCGGGGTTACCGCGAGCCTAGATTGGAGAAGCATCCAACAAGTCTCCGATAACATATCCGAACCCTGTCGCGGGCGCGGGACGAGTCCCTTTCCCCAAAACGGGAAAAGAAGAAGCGAAACCTCCTCGCTTGCCGGTCGTTACCACGTTCGAGCGGACAGGTCCCCCAGGGAGAAAGTGGAGAGGATGGCCCCCAAGCCCTCAAGGCAGGGCCCTCCTACGCTTCACGAAACATGCCGGAGCTCACGACAATGGGGCCGAGCGTTCCGCGACCCGCGGCCGTTATGTCGGCCATCGGGAAAGGGTGACCAAATAAGTATCCACAGTGACCAAGGAGTTATAAAAGCTTTCGACGAGACATTTTCCAATGTCCAATGTCCAATTGCCACAATGTTTCTTCATTGCACGTACCGATCTCCTTTGAAAACCGGTGCTCGAAATAAAACGGTTTCTGCTCGTCAACTATATCTGAAACCCCTTAGTGTCACTCTACTGCGTTTTTTGTTGTCCTTTAAAGTTAGTGATAAAAACGATCTACCCCGTTTATGAAGATAGAGATTATATTTTGTCCAGACGTACACACCTATAACGGGAAACTAATTTTGTGCACCCTCAGACAATTTGTGAAATTCTAGAGGCAGCTACCTCAGGTGATGTGGTTCCCCAAGTAAAGTGCACTGAAATGGAACAACAAACATTTCCCGTTAACTTAGAGTCGTGTGGGACACTCATAAAATGGCCATCCTCAAGGTCTGCGAGAAGTTTCGGCGTGACCGAGGCGATTACAGTTCCAACCTCATGATCCCTAATGTTGTTATTCAAACCGTGGTTATTATCCTGATATCTCTCCTTGGGCGAGTTCCAAAATCTCGGTCGATTATGTCTTGGCAACCACCCTGGAAGGCTGGAGCGTCAACAGACATCATTTCAGCGATTGCGCAGTCTCCACTTTTAAAAAGTTTGCTCGAAGACGTCCTTTGGGCATTGATTTGCCAATAATGATTGCTATGACAATGTCCGCTCCTTCTAGCGTGGTGAAGATCGATTCACTCAGACCACACAGCAAAAATGCTTTCTCCAATGGAACCTGGTGGCTTCGTTACCTGGTGGCATAGCTTGGCAGTGTTGGCTGTAACGCGTTACCAGTAACGGCGTTACCAGTACGGGTTACTTTTTTCTCAGTAACGTAATACCTATTAAAACAGTAAAGTATAACATAGTTACGTCACTTATTTCGAGTAAGGGGTAACTTTATTACTCTACTCATTAGAACTTTAAGGTTAAAAATGTTAAAAAAACTACTTAATTTTTTTTCTTTGTGTGTTTCTAGGCGCCATGTTACGTGAATTAGTGCACTATACCCCCAAATACCATCAAAAAGCGAGTATGTCGTAAATCAGCTTTTTATCTACGTTCGCCTTTTTTTTTTCTTCTCGTCAGTATTCAGGTGGAGCCGTGAAAAAGATAAGGTAATTATGTAAAGCTTTTGCACGGGTAGAATGGTTCTTTTTAAAAATGGCGCTTATGTCTACCTGTAAAATTAAAACAATAAAACATTGTGGTTAATAAATAAAGAAACGCAAATCTAACGCGCCTTACTTTGTATGGGTAATGGTGACGTGTTTCTTTTATTTGTAAGTAAGGAAAGACGTATTTTGCTATTTTTTGGCGCAATGCTTACACAATTGGGATTGATCACTGAGTTGTCGATATTACGATCAAACTATTTAAAGACCTAATCATTTCGTTTATTTTTAATCCCCCCCCCCCTTCTTCTGCAAAAATGTAATATAATTAAAAAAAAAAGAAGCTATATACAGACAAATTTGAGCGATACTTTTCCCGCAGTCTCGAAACAAAACTGTCGTGTATCAATTCAACGTCTGTCAATATATATAAAAAAAAAAGAAATGTAAGGGCGCAAACGAGCTGGTGTACATTAAACATGACTCAAAAGCCCCAAGACACACACACTCAACGTTTGAGTCTGTGTGCCGTTACCTGCAGTCTCGTTTTTTTTAATCATGTGAATATCTGTAGCCCGTAAAAGATCCGGAAGATTGCATCTAAATTTACGTCTCTTCCAGGTTGTTCCACTGATTATTAAAAATAGCTAAACACCATTACTTCTGAAAATTAGTTATTATTGAGAAGATAAGATAAGTTTGAAATGTATAGTTTTATACTTGTATAATTTTATCTGTACAATACTTGTATAGATGAAAGCAATCCTATTATTTTGTGCAAACTTGTACGGAGCGAAAACGTGTAATACAGCCAGCAAGGTTGATAGTGTAAAACCACTTAAAGTAAAAAAAAAGAAATACTCTGTAGGCTTTTTGAACTCTTTCTGTACCCATGCATTCAGCCTCTGATTTTTTACACATCCGCCTTAATACAAAAAAAAAAATCTTATAAAAACAAATCCTGCGGTTGTTGCAATTATTTTTCTGATTGCCAGCGGCACGAATCGGTGCCCGTGGGTTTCTGTACCTCACACGCTAATAATCGTTCGACTGCATTATCATTCGTTTCTGCAAGCAATTTGAAACCGCTCTAGCGTTTAATGTCGTTTGAAAATAATTACTCTCCATCAATTGGACAGATCTATCGCGACCCAATTACGGTACATTAGGTTGCGTTACACCCCGGACCGACATTAACTAAGGCACTGCATTCTCAGTTGGCAATACGACTGACACTGTTGTCGGAGGTACAATGATCACAAATCAAAGATGTCCTCGGAGAAAAAGGGAAAAAGTAGGTCGTACGCACCGGTGCTACCCAAGCAGCCTTTCTAACAGGAAAATTCCTTTCAAATCAACGCCACGGCAGAAAAAAAAAATTGCGCCAGAGGTATTTTTTTATGTCACAGGGAAAACGATTGTGATGTTGGCACTCTTTCATAGTGCCGGCTACTCCATACCAACTGTAAAACAAATAAATTACTGAAAGCTTTTTTGTACAATTCTTTCACCTGCTCATTGGTAAAAAAAGAATAGAGTCTTTCGCAACACAATAAACTTAAAAGATGACAAAAAAAAAGATAATAAAAAAAAACTTCTCCTTGTGCCCAGTGTGCCTATATGCAGGGGGGGGGGGGGGAATGCTGCTCCTTTTCCTTGACTTCATAAAAGTGACGTGTTTGTAGCAGTACTAAGTGAAATTTCACCTCAAATATTTGTTGAGGAAAATCTTTTTTTTTTTTAATGTTGCAGGAGACTAAGTGATATAGGATAAGAAATTTAAAATGTATAGTTTTATACTTGTACAAACAAGAAAGTGCTTAAATGAAAGCAATCATATTATTTTGTGCAAACTCGCACAAAGAGAAAACGTAATACAGCCAGCAAGGTATGGATGCATTTTTTACAGGCTTTAGATGAGTCGCAAAGGGGGTGATTTGGTTATTCTAAGCCGCGTTTTCTTTTAACCTGACGATGGTTTTGCCTATGTGCATGTGGCCTAATCAGCTAAGTGATCAAACACGCACTATTTTGCACACGAACTTAAGAAAAAAAAGCTTTTCGCTATTCGAGAGATTTTTAACTATGTCACTGGTTAACGAATATATTCTTCTGTCGCCAGTGTGTGATGCCCATGTCTGGAAAGTTGCAAACTAGGGCCCTTCAATGCACACGCGAGAGGTGTTTCTTAAATGTTCGTTTTCTGGTAAGAGGTCATTACAAACGGGATCAGTATGGCGTACAGTAAGCACGAATAAGCTAGTGGCGCTACCAGCTTGTGTGCATTGCAGGCTGCAGTCCTAAGGCTAAGAGCTACAGATCATATACTCTGTTCCCCTTTAAAGACCGACAACCAGTTCGCGCTTTCCACTTTTCCCTCGCTTCCTCCTCTCCCCCTTCTATCCTGTCCACCGTTTCCTGTTTCCTCCTCCCCCATGGTGAGGAAGATCTTCTGCCTTGCAGAATCTCGAGTCTGGTCGTCGGTCTTTACGCTGAGAATGCAGCCAACGCTACAAGCACGAGCTAGCCCGCGCTCCAGGCTTTGAGACGTGCGTTTCTAGCACGAGTGCTCTTTCCGCGGAAGAACGCTTCAAAACAGCGACCTCGAGCTCTCGTGCTTGTGACATTGGCTGCAGTCTTAAGGGGGAACGGTGCAATGGCCTCGAGGCCAAGACTGAATTGTGTGGAAAGGTGCTTTTGTTTTTACCCATGGTTCTTTAACAGACACGTGGTGATTCCATCTGTCCACGATGCGGGTAGAAAAGCATCCACACTAAAGGCTCGGAGCATGGGCAAGGGTACAGAGCACGAGCTCTTAGTAGTGCGCGAGCGCTGCATTGGCGCCTCCATGGCTTCAGACTCGCGTGCGTAGCATTCGTTTTGCTCCAAGTGTAAAACAAAGCGTAGTTCTTCTCTTCACAACATGAGCCTTGTCGATCGGATCTCGAGGCGAATAGCATTCTTTGTGTTTTATATACTGGTATGGATCCGTGATTATCATGCAGTAGAAAATCGTGGCACAGCCCCTAGAAAACAATAAATATACTGTCTCTATTTAGATAAATTTATTCTTTAAAGTTTACGCATCGCCTTTTCTCATGATAGAATAATAACAAAGAAGGGCTTGAAGTACTCGCAGGGAAGAAAATCGCCGACCCAACCGTGGCGAAAATAGGGTACAAATCTTTTTAACTGTCACTGAGCCGTTAGCAGACATTGCGTGACTCTTATCGACGTCTTATCTAGCGTGTCCTAAAGTCACTAGATCCTGGGAAAGTAGCAACATTGCCTTCCCTGCCTGCTAGCCGGACACAAACAAACACCAACCTGCAGACGACAAAACCTCTCAAGGTGATTGGCTGATCGGTCTCGGTTGCCATGGCGATCGCCACTTTGGGCCTTTCAAATGTTCTAAGGTTCGAAAGGGTCGTTCCAAGCAGTCGCACCAACATCGCTATGGTGCGCGTCATCGTACTGAAAGCGTTCCTCGACCAATATAAGCGTCTTTGGCACTGTGCCTGCAATAAACTTATCTCTCATGCTTATCTCCCCAGATCTCTTACAATTATGTTGCTCTTCTTGCGTATTCAAATCAGTTTTTTTTTCTTTTTTTTTTTGCATGTGATGGCGGTACCAAGATGTACCCCATCACATGCGGCGTCAGTGGCTGGAGGCTTTGAAAAATAATTTTCCTGTCTTGAAATACGCAGGAAGAGCAACATAATTGTAAGAGATCTAGAGAGATAACTATGAGTGATACGTTTATTGCATGCACAGTGCCAAAGACGCTTCTATTGGCCGAAGAACGTTTATAGCGACCTTGGTGCAACTGGTTGGAACGACCCTTTCGGAGTTTTGAAAGGCCCAATATGGCGATCGCTACGGCATCCGAGACCCATCAGCCAATCACCTTGAAGATATTTTGACGTCTGTATGTTGATATGTGTTTGTGTCCGGCTAGCAGGCAGAAAAGGTAATGGCGCTACTTTTCTAGGATCCTGCGACTTTAGCGTGCCCCTCTTCGACATGCAATATACGACTCAAGTTAACTAATTCCTCTGAGTGTGCAAGATCAGAGCTTATGCGTCGCTCAAATAAAATAGGGCTCGCGCTGGTGGGATAACTGCCGCACGACGGTCCTTGGCGCACAAAGCAAGACAATGCTATCGAACAATGTGCAAACCGTGTCCGCTTATTTTTGTACCGAACAATAGAACCAAAGATAATCCGTACCGTTATCACGACATGTCGTGTGCGGCACTCTACACAACTCGCAAAAAACCGTTCGCCCTTTTCTTTCGGGACATACCCAATGACCGGCATGCCGTAATCCCCCACCCTTCTTTATCAACTCCTGGTTAAAACAGCGCTGCACAAAGATGGCAATTAAGAACGGACAGCAGCGCGCCGAGTGGCATCTGAAGTAGAACCAAGACAAGTCCTCTCGCGCACACAATCCACGTCCCCAGGGCTCCTATCCTTTCTTGCCCACACCGGGACTGCATGGACATTGATTGGCGTGCGGACTACGTTGCGGAACTTTCTGCCGGGGAGGACAAGGCCCCTCAGCCAGGACAAAGTCCTTGCGCAACTTATCGCGCGAAGCACGGCTTCCCTTTGCCGGCTCTGGAATGCCTCTCGAAGGACCTCTGCCGCCCAGGCGACGACGCCTTCGGAGGAAGTCGGAGCGAAAATGATAGAAAGGGCGACGGCCAACAGACCCTTCGCCGAATGAACCTTTTTGAGGAAATGCTTCTCCGCATGCGTACGCCCTCCTTACGCAGCGGCTGCAACTCGAACTACAGTTGGAGCCGGGGGCGGGGGGAGTCGCGTTAGCTTTCTTGCCCCGTCCGCACGAGGATCGGTCCATACCACCTATACTCGTTTCCACCTCAAGAACCGTAGTAAAAAATGTCCGGCTTTTCGCAAGGCATTACTGATTTCCCCCTTTGTTCAGTGCTGGGGTCTCCAGACTTCTTGGCTAAGGGGCCAGATCGGGGATCTGATAAGTGATTATAACCGAGAAAAAACTAAAGTGATAATCCTAGATAAACATTTAGATAGACAAAGTAAAAGTTAGTGTAAAAAAAGTATGTAAGGTGGGTGAAGTCAATTAATTTATTTTTAAATTCAATATTTAGCTAAGTATGATATTACACAATATTTGGGACCCTGAAAACTCACGAGACATAAATGAAAACGCATAGGAGGAACTTTTTCATGTTTACACAGGGCGAAAGACTAATGCGTGTAATGGAACTGATGCTGACAATGCGCTAGAGATACGACACGGGACACTGACTGCAATGCATATGGGAACGCAAACGCGAAGTTATACGCAGATATGAGACAGGGGACTAGGCAAATGGTGATGCGGATTATGACAATGCGCAATGAATAATATGACGAGAGTGATAGGCACATTTCTCTCTTTTTTATGGGTACATCGTTTAAGCGGTTGGGTGCGCGTTGCTACGCCGTTTATTGAAGGCGGGGTCACACTGCTTATACATCATACAAAAGACAGTATGCAAGTAGATTTGAACGCAAGTCACCACAAGATCCGTGCTTCGAATCCCGCATGGCAACGCCTTCAAGGAGAACCTTGACACGCGGGCATTCGAACTACGGATATCGCGGTGGCTGCTCGGAGCACGCACAGAAAAAAGATCGCGCTGCAGAACACATAGACCTTTGGGCTCAATCCCCACTCCTCCGGCATCGTACCAGCGTCGGGTCGTGTATCACTACCGCGTGATGCACGATACAAACTACACTGGCCAAATTTCTCATCTACAGCGTAGGTAATAAATACGATAGAGCGTGTCAAATAACTGCACCGACTCAAACTCTGAATACCCCCCCAATTCAATAAAATATATATCAGAGAGTCAAGGACACCGTTTCGGTGTTCTGGTGAACCTCTTGGAAACCACATTCTTCCACAGAAGCTAGTTTTAGATTACCGCAGTACGCTTTGAGCACTGGGCAGTCCCACAAAAAATGATTTGGAGTGACTCGTGCAGGCGCCTTCACATCGCATACACACACCCCTTTCCGGCTGTCCTGATTACGGGACTTGTCTGGCTGGGGTCACCGTATTTTGTCTCCATATTCTACGGAGCCGTACGCTGGCTTGTCCTCCGTGACTTTTGGGGTTGTACATACAACGCACCATCGTCCTTATATGATTTCTTAGTATGGTCCCCTTTCTCCCATGTCTGTATCCCTTCGGTGTTGATATACATACATATATATATATTTTTTAACATGTCGACGTCTTATTTTTGTAGTGAATATATTGCTTTACTCCCTCTAATCAAGCGCACATTTTAGACATCTCTTCTTGCAAAACCAAATTCCGCCTTCTCGGGTGCCATTTTTAGTGCAGCAAAGCAGGCTATGCTAGCTCCCAGCGGACTTCCACAAAACCACCATTCCGCTCGCTCAGCCCTCTTTCATTTTTACATTGCAGGATCGGCCTCTGTGGATTCGACAACCCCATGCGGGACCCGCGGACGGACGAAATCAAGAAGCAAGTCGGACACGTAAGTAACAAACTCCCCGATACATTTTCGCCTAATCCATTAAACGCCGGGAAGTGGATCCCGCCTCCATTTCCAGCGGTAATAAAGACCCATCAAGTCGCCCATTCGGAAGGTGCTAATTAGAACGCCCGCCCGTGCCTCTTTGTACAACTTCGGACTTCGTTCGGACGGTTCGTGGCACTATTCGCAATTCCACCTAGAAGTCAAGGCCTGGGCATATGACGTCATCGTTAGTGGACCCTCGACCCGTCCCATGTGGCAAACGCGATGACGCTTTGACGGGAGTCGCCGCAAGGTGGCAGACGCGTTCGTCTCGACGTCGCCGCGGGCCAAAACGCTGCGGCACGCGCTGGCGACGCTGCTGACGCGAGGTAGGCTGCGCTGTGCGGATTCACTAGCGATGACGTATTAAGAGGGCAAGGAGCAGGCCTTCTCTTTTAGGGGGTATTGCCATTCGTCACTGGGCCGCCACCAGTGAGAAGCGGGTCCCGACACTCCAAAGCCGGCCACCTCAAAGAAAGCGAGGCTCCCTTCCCGAGGAGGCGCATTCATCTTAAAAAACCACTCTCGTTACCTCGCAATTCAATCTAGTCTCGTGCAAATTAAAAAGAACGAAACGAAAACAACGCAGCCGTGTGATCGAGGTCCTTGGAATCGGACCACGCCTATCAGCAAACCTCCTTCCACCCGTAAACGACCTCTTTTTTTTCCCCCCTTTCTTGTTTCTAAACCGACCGATAAAATGAACGGCGCGTAGACTGGATCGAAGGGAAAAACAAACAGCTCTGGCCCCCCCATCGCGAAACCCGAGAGCGAAAGTGGAGTGGACTGAGCGTGCACCTTGCACGTTTTTGCAAAGAGCTGCCGCGCTAAGGTGGTCATCGACACGTGGAAGCGAATGGTTGCTGCCTTGGCTCCTGCGGTACAAACTGTGTCGCTTTGTTGTTTTTCGACGTCTTCCCCGCGAAACATAAGTTTACTTGGCACGTTCGCGAAGGTGCAATACTTGAGTGGAGCGATCGAACATTCGGCTGGTGTCTCGATAGCCACGAATGCACATCGGCCTTGTTGTTTCTCTTGAAACCGTGTGGCCATATCACTCCCGCCATTTTGCCCGGTGGAATCTCGCCCGCCTTCTGGACAACAACCCCGCGGGAGGACGGGTTGTATAGGGTATACTAATGTTCGACGACGGTTGGCGTCGTTTTTTCGGAGTTTCATTCGCCGTCAGAAACAGCACGTATACGTAATATAAAAAGAAAAAGAGCGCTCCGGCGGTCTAAGATAGCAGAATTCTTGTTTAGACTCGATGCCGGACTGGCGGTTATCAGGATGAGAAGGGGACGCTGGCATGTGTGGTTTTGTTTTTCCCCGTATTTACGAAGTTCTCTGACGCCGGCTGGTCTGAACGCGGGTGACAGGTCAGAATGCTACGAACTTCCAGGTCGGAGAACTTTCGTTTGCTGATCATTCTTGCCCTCTATGGCAACAACTCCTTCCCTAACTTTTTATCGGTTCTTCTAGGACAATTTCTTGCTTTTCGAGTTCAGCGGATCCGGACCTGACCACACCAGTTATCTGCATAACATGCTTGAACATGTCTTATTTTATGCGTATGGCCTCACGACTTTATTACAGTCGGCGGCAAGCGAAGCTACGAACAGGATTGATGAACCATTTATTTACTGTTGTCCACTTTATAACCTTCAAAAAAAAAAAGCCGCTACCAATTAAAAACAAGTCAAAGTGGAAACGAGCGATGGTCACTATGTCCCATGAAGCTCTAAGAACTTGTTGTTTTCTTTTGTTTGAAGGCGTCTGAATTAAGGTTTTAGAGAGCATGTTCAGTTTAAACTCATGATTTCGTCTCCACGTTAAGATCGAAAGAACACATTTAAATCTTCAAGACACCTTCAAACGTTGCGATCACGAAACGCTTAAGCTGTTTCGCGGAGGATAAGGTTTCAGTCCAAGTATAGGTCACAATTACGAGCGTTACAGCACATTTGGGGCGAGCGGCGGAATAGCTCGAAGTTCATAAAGCGACTTTACGGGCCTCTCGTCTGCGGGTTTAAGCGGTCTCCTAACGAGCGTTTTATGAACCGTAAATTTTTTTTCTTCTACGGAGCCGTAAAAAAGAGAGAGAGAAGAAAAAAGAATATTACGACATTTTGCGCGGTAGTAACTTCTCCGAATGATGAGTCACCGCCGATGCAGTTCGCGGTGGCAACCGCCCGAGTTCACCGCTCTTTCGGAACGCCGAACGTAAGTTGTTTCTGCGTGTTGGCCGTTGGGATTTCGAGTTCGATGTTATGTGTGTGGTGGCAGCTTCGATGCCCCTGATTGGGTCGGGAAAGAAAACAGGCGTGTCAGGTAATCCTAACCCTTTATGTCGGATAGAAGTTGAAATTGGGGTCACTGACCCAATCATAAGTCGGACCGGTTCGCCTTTGTACCGTGGATGCCCGCCCGCTGCGTGTAACCTCGATAAAAACGGCTTCTCTACGCTGATTGGAGTTCTTAACTTGGTATGTCTTAAAATTGCCGAGGAATGTTTGGAAAGATACAGTAGGGTTTTTCCAACCGTCTCATGTCTCTTGGAAGGGCTCGAAGCATATGTTATGCCTTTGCTTCACACGCCTCGCACGCTTCGTCTGATCAAGCAAAAAAATAAAAAAAAAATTAAAAATAAAAGAAACTAAAAAGATTCTTTAAAAAGCAAAAGAAAACATCGGCATTGCGCTTTGGAATTTCTTACGGGCCATCCGCAATATGACGCCGTTTTCCTTACCATAGAACTATGATAGGTAGCCGAGGATGATACAGATACTGAAACTCTTGAATTAACGAATTTCTAATTAAAGTTTTGTCTTGTTCCATATTGTAGAAATTCAGCGTTCGGTCCGAAAACTGTGTTTTTTTTTAAAACAAACATAGATTCGCATCAGTTTCTAATTAAAAAAGAACTTCCAAAAATTAAAAAAAAAAAAAATGCAGGCTATGGAGTTAAGTAAGTTAAAAAAATATAGCCCATCTTTGATTTTAAAAAAAATTAAAGAAGTGCGGGCCAAGTGTTTTAAGGCCCGTTCACACTCTTGCAACCGAGTACGACCGAGAGAAAGAAGACCGGTTTTTAAGCCTCTTGCGATCTCTTAGGACCAGCTCCGCTGCCGCGCATCCGGTCCTAAGAAGTCGCAAAAGGCTTAAAAACCGGTCAGGTCTCTCTCAGTCTTACTCGGCCGCAAGAGTGTGAACGGCGCTTAAATTAGACGTGCGTGATCTTAATAGCTACAATAGCAAATACACCTAAGCTCTGGACGTTGAAATGAAACTAAAGATAACGCCACATAGTCGGTTTTTATTCCAATGCGTGTCTGACGTTGTATTTTTAGCATTTTATTTTCGCTATTTTGCTAGATCGGCAAGCACACATGTGTCAACATTTGCATCGCATATTTTGGCATAATGCCCTCTCTTAAGACGCTTAGGTATAGCTGCGCACTACTAGCGGTTTTGGTTCCAGAATTGCCTCAAGTGTTTTGAAACACCGCAACTTCTGCCAAACTAATACGTATGGGGGTTACAAAAAGGCCGCGAAAACAAGAATTATTTCCTCAGCACAGGTTTGCGTCCACAAACTGAACTGAACATTTTCACCTTGACACGAGACGAGTCTGAAATTCCGCGACAAGCCAATTCAGCGAGCCTTTTGAGCGGTTGTTTGCGAGCGCACCTACATTTTGTTTTGCTTATGTTCGTAAAAAGAAAAAAAAAAAAAAATCTCAAGACACGATCGGATGATTCTCAGCTTTTTTGATAAAACAAGCCCGTTTTCTTCCCTTTTTTCTTTCTTTTGGCACAAGCATACTAACTGGAGACAAATGCCAAGAAAGACGGCCCCAAACTCGCACTTCGCCGTATGAGTCACCTCAGCAAATAGACACGTTTACGATCAAGGAAAATCTACAAAGCGTATCAAGGCTTCTAAGTCCAAAGCTTTCAAAGTTTCCGTGTAATCCTACTTGCGCTCTGGGATTTTCTTCTGTGTAATGATGGTCTTAAATGCAATGCCCAATATAGGATGACAAAAAAACAACATCCGGAACAACAGAAGCTACGGAAGCATTTTATTGAGACAATATTGTCCAATAAAGTCTAACAATCCGATAAGAAACGTGTATATAGCTAACGAACCATTCTCCAGATCGCTCATCCCGTCATGCATCGGAATGACCAAACGTGAACATTACAGTTAACAGAAAGCAGACTGAGTTTTTTCGTAGCAACCTGATAAAATTATGCGCCTCCAAAAAATACAAACCTCCTGTTGTGCTTCCTTGGTCATCGTCGATATGAGAGGTTTTATCTCAAAATTAGAAGTGTGGCCAGCTAGAAAGAAGGGAGCAATGTGACCTATAAGAATATTTTCAGGTCGATCGCATAAATTGATGATAATTATAGATTGATGTTATTATAGCCTTAAGGATAGAGAACAATAATATCTTTTCAGTCACCGTATTCCCTTTTGGTTTACGTAGACACGTTTATTCCTACCATGTTAGTTAATCTCGCTAGGCGGCGACTTGAATGCTCTAGTGCCATCAAGCAACGATAATATTTCACTAAAAACGGGATACATTACGGCCTCTCTTAAGTAAAACAACTGGTTCTCGGGTACAATGCTTTCAGGCTTTGACAGCAAATGTCTTACGCCAATGCTTAGAAAATATTGTCAGTCACTGTACCTTGCACGACATAGTACGAACACAAAATCTATTTCGTTAACATTTTGCTCGTACAATCAATTGACGGACACCAGGTTGTTCTGCGGTGCCCTGAATGAGCTAGCGATTGCTTGTTCGGACTAACAGTGTGGCGCTGTCTGGACATGCTGGGCATTAGTATGTTCGAGCAACTTGAATAATTATCCAATAATTATAACTGCCACGCGTAAGTCAAGCTGTTGTCTCGAAAGCAAAATGACTACAAAATAAAACAAA